AGTGAACAGCAGTCGTTAGTAGGATGACCTAGTCATCTTTGTGTGTCTAGGACTTGCCTGGTTTTATCTCTGAAAGTCTTATATCCTAGGAGGCCTCACTCCATCCTGGGCACACCAGGATGGTTTATTGCCCTAGACATTAACTCCTCTTCAGACTCCTACCCACCCACAACATCCCAGCCGCAGTGCCCACCTGTGTGTCCAACAGGCTTGCTCGGAGTTCCTGGGCTGCATCCCTGCCCCGACTGATTTCCTGACCTAAGAGTCTCAGTGTGTGGCCGTATAGGCCCAGGTTGCGTCCAGCCTCTGTCAGCTGTGCCTCTGTGGCCCTGTACACGCCATTGAGGGCCTGGCCCAGCTGCAGGGTCCCATGGAAGAGAAGGGTCAGCTCCTCTTGCTGTGCTGGCTCCAGGCTGCCCACAGGGGGTGTGGGAGCAGGCTGGGCTGCTGTTGCCAGGGTCCACAGCAGGCAAAGAGCAAGCGCTGACATGGTGTGCAGCCACAGCACCACCAGTGTTTCCTTTTATCCTCCCACATCTCCATTAACCCCTGGATAATCGTTAACTAGCCAACTGGATGCCCCGTGTTGTGCAAGGGCCTTGGCAGTGGCACGACAGTTGCATCAGGCAAATGTCTGGCCGAGCCACGCTGGGATCACGCTGTCTGAGGCTCAGAGCCAGCCGTGGGTGGGGGAGCATTGGGAAAGTATGGGCCTAGGACCCTGCTAGGCAACACTGAGGCTCACTGTGCTGAGCTTCAGTTTCCCCACCTGGGAACAGGCACAACAATGATAGTAATAGTGAGGCTTTTACAAGCACCTGGTTTTTCCAGAGCAGACCCAGTTACCTGCTGTGCTAGTCTCTGCTCTCGTGCCTGCCCCACACGCCTGCAATGTAGGGCTCTTCGACGGCCTGTACAGCAGCTGGGGGAGTGGGTGCAGGTGATAGACTCTCTCAAAGCCATACAGTCTGACTTAAGGACCCACAAATGCCCCCAGATGAATGCTAACTATGACTTTACTCCCTGGATAACTATAGGCAAGTGCCTAAGTTTCCCTTCCTATAAAACGGGGGTGATGTTCATCCTGCCTAATGCACTGCTTGTGAGAAGTAAATGAATTATTTCTTGTTGAAGACTTAGAATGGGCCCAACACACAATAGGTCCGTGTAAAGGTTTGGTGCAATAATTGTCATTATTATTATCTATCATCATTAGCATAGTTACAGATGATCAGCTAGAAGGCCCCATGACCCCATTTTACAGATAAGGACACTGAGGCCCAGAGGGAGGTTTGCCCCTACCTCTGACTCTGACCTCAGTTTGCCTACCTAAAAGACAGGCCACATAACTCTAGTAACTTTTTTTTTTTAGAGACAGAGTCTCACTTTATTGCCTTTGGTAGAGTGCCGTGGAGTCACAGCTCATAGCAACCTCCAACTCCTGGGCTTAGGCAATTCTTCTGCCTCAGCCTCCCAAGTAGCTGGGACTACAGGCGCCCGCCACAACGCCCAGCTATCTTTTGTTGCAGTTTGGCCGGGGCCGGGTTTGAACTTGCCACCCTCGGTATATGGGGCCAGTACCCTACTCACTGAGCCACAGGCGCCATCCCCCACCTTTTTTTTTTTTTTGAGACAGAATCTCACTCTGTGTCCTGGGTAAAGTGTCATGGCATCTTAGAGTTCATAGCAACCTCAAACTCTTGGGTTCAGGTGATCCCCTTGCCTCAGCCTCCCGAGTAGATGGGACTACTATAGCACCTATAGCCACAACTGACTGTGGTTTTTCTATTTTTAGTAGAGATGGGGTGTCACTCTTGCCCAGGCTGGTCCTAAGCTCAGACAACCCACCCACCTCAACTTTCCAGAGTGCTAATATTACAAGCATGAGCCACTGTGCCCGGCCTCTAGTAACTTCTTGGGGGAAGGGCAGTCAGGCCACCTGGTCCACTTTGGAATTCTGCCCCTGAGTGTCCATCTATTCCCTGCTCTCTGCCTTGGAGTGTCTCACTAGTGTCCCCAAAGACCCTCTGTTCCCATCCTGTGCCAGTCAGTCCTCTCCCCAGCTGGTACCCATATTGCCTCTCACACAGCCCTCAATGCCCCAGCCTTATGACCCTCTCTTCCCCCTACCGGTCTGTGTCCCCAGCCAGCCTTGTTCCGGCAACACAGTTGCTTATGTGCGCTGGCAGGGCCAGGCCCTGAGCCTCTGACCCCCTGCCCTGTCACCCACAGGAACCTGCTCTATGTATACCCGCACAGCCTCAACTTTAGCAGCCGCCAGGGCTCTGTGCGCAACCTCACCGTTCGGATACAGTACATGGCGAGCGAGGACCCCAGCCAGGCCCTACCAGTCAGTGGCTATATCCCTGAGGAGGGGGTTGAGACATCCCTGGTGGGCCTCTCACCTGCCCACTCTCCCAGGTGATCTTCGGCAAGTCCAGCTGCAGTGAATTCACCCGTGAGGCCTTCACACCCGTGGTCTACCACAGCAAGTATGTGTGTGTGGGGGGGGGTTGCTTAAGGACCCTGGGGCACTGAGGGGTGTCAGAGTGGAAGAGTGTGGGCCACATGCAGTGGCTCTTGCTTGTAAACCTAACACTTTGGGAGGCAGAGGCAGGAGCATCCCCGAGCTTAACAGGAGTTCAAGATACAGCCTGAGCAAAAGCAAGACATTGTCTCTACTAAAAATAGGAAAACTAGTCAGCTGTTGTAGTGGGTGCCTGTAGTCCCAACTACTTGGGAGGCTGAGGCAAGAGAGTCGGTTGAGCCCAAGAGTTTGAGGTTGCTGTGAGCTGTGATGATGCCACAGCACTCTACCGAGGGTGACAGATGGAAGTACAGTGGGCAGCAAGAAGGTGAAGGCCTTTGGGACACTGACGGGGGAACTTGAAGCAGAGAATAGGAAGAGTGGGGTCCAGTAGTATGGGGGACTGGTGTGGCGGAGGCCATGGAGTAAATAAGGGGAATCCCAGACCCCAGCAGACCCCCCAGCCCCGTCCTGCCAGGTCCCCCGAGTTCTATGAGGAATTCAAGTTGCATCTTCCCGCCTGTGTGACTGAGAACCATCACCTGCTGTTCACCTTCTACCACATCAGCTGCCAGCCCCGACCGGGCACAGCTCTGGAGACGCCTGTGGGCTTCACTGTGAGCTGCCCCCTCCCATCCACCCCTAAGCCCTCCTTGTCCCCAGGTGTGGCCACAGGCCTGACCCTTGGCTTTTCCCCAGTGGATCCCACTGCTGCAGCATGGCCGCCTGAGGACTGGCCCCTTCTGCCTCCCCGTGTCTGTGGACCAGCCACCACCTAGCTACTCTGTGCTCACACCGGACGTATGTCTCCACAAATGCTCCATGTCACCTGCCTTTCTTCCTATTGACACCCTGGGCAACCTTGTCCTCTACTGGTGCCTCTAGGACCTCATGGCCTCAAGTCCTGCCATGAAGCTATTTCCTGGCTCACTCAATGAATGTCTACCTGTATCCCCATTTTCTGTCCCTTCTTAACATATGGACCCCTTAATCCCTTTGGACTGGGCTGGGGCAGGGTTCCTGGCTGCTCCCCTAGGCTGGGCCACACTGAGGCCACAGTGTCGCAATGGCTGAGGCTGCTGGGTGACCTGATCAGTGGGGGAGGTTCGGCCTGTGCCCACCTGGTGCCTCCCTCCCACAGGTGGCGCTACCAGGCATGCGCTGGGTGGATGGCCACAAGGGCGTGTTCAGCGTGGAGCTCTCAGCAGTGTCCTCTGTGCACCCCCAGGTATGGGGTGGGGCAGGAACCCAGGAGTCCAGTTCTGCTCCCCTCCTGCCCACCCTGGGATTGGGCAACAGTTGCTACTGGCTGGAGATGTCTGGCCTCAGGCTGTAGACATGACTTTAGTCAACTGGACTGGGCTCTCAGGGAAGCTGCTGACTCAGGCAGGGGTGGCCTCAGTATCCTGGGGCCTTTCCTGACTAAGGGCCTGGGGCCTCTTCCTGCTTACCTCATGTCCCTACCCAGGACCCCCATCTGGATAAGTTCTTCACCCTGGTCCATGTACTAGAGGAGGGGGCCTTCCCGTTCCGCCTCAAGGACGCCGTGCTGAGTGAGGGTACCGTGGAACAGGAGCTGAGGGCCAGCTTGGCATCACTGCGCCTGGCCAGCCTTGAGCCTCTCGTGGCCTTCTCTCACCATGTGCTGGACAAGCTTGTGCATCTGGTTGTGCGGCCTCCAATCATCAGCGGCCAGATCGGTGAGCAAGTGTGGCCTTGGGCCTGTTTTCCTATCTGGAATGTGGTGCTCCAGTCCCCTGGTCCTGGGTGGCCTTATATAGCTCGATTATCTTTCTCTGGCCTCAGTTTTCCCATTTGAAAAACGGCCTCTGGTCCTCTGCACCCAGAGCAAGTCCTCTGTGTTCCCTTAGTGGTCAAGTGACCCCTTGCATCCTAATGTCTCTATTTTTGGAAAATGGGTGGGAAGATAAGAGGCCTTGGACGGTGAAACTTGGCCTCTGCCCTGCCCCACAGTGAACCTAGGCCGTGGAGCCTTTGAAGCAATGGCCCATGTAGTCAGCCTTGTCCACCGGAGCCTGGAAACTGCCCAAGATACCCGTAGTCACTGCCCGCAGCTGGCGGCCTATGTCTACTACGCCTTTCGCCTGCCTGGCACCGAGCCCAGCCTCCCAGGTGGTGAGTATTGGTGGAAAACCCCAGAAGATAGGAAATATCTGAGGGAAGAGCATCCCAGTCAGTGAGATCAGCATGTGCAAAGGCTCTGAGGCCTTACAGGCTTTGCCTGGTTTGAGCAAGTAGCAAGAGAGATAATGTCTTGCCCTCTTTACCCTAATCCCAAGGGATACGGTCTTCAGCAGATAATTCCACCAATTAGCAAACATCCTTAGTTCTTGGAGCTGAGCTGCCTGGGCTGAATCCAGTATCTGCCACCTGTAAGCTTTATGAGCCTGGGCCAGTGACTACACCTCTCAACCTGCTTTCTCTTTTATAAAACAGAGACAATAATAGCACCCACTTCATGGGGGCACTGTAAAAGTAAATGATATATTAGTCTATGCACAATGCTTAACGCGCTATGAGCACATAATAAGGTTGTATTATTTTTTATTTGCCAAATAATTAATAACACCAACCCCTATTTGCCAGACATTATTTTCGGGTTTCGGGGAGGGGGTTTCAGACAGTCTCACTCTTTGACTGCAGCTAGAGTGCCATGGCCTCAGCCTACCTCACAGCTCAAGCTCAAGCCTACCTCAGACTTCCAGCTCAAGCAATGCTCCTGCCTCAGCCTCCCAAGTAGCTGGCACTACAAGTGCCTACTGCTCTGCCCAGCTAGTTTTTCTGTTTTTAATAGAGATGTGGTCTCACTCTTGCTCAGGCTGGTCTGGAACTTCTGAGCTCAGTCAGTCCACCGGCCTTGGCCTCCCAGAGAACTAGGATTACAGGTGTGCACCACTGCACCCAATCTAATTCTGTTTTTCAGTTTCCCCACAATCTCTATGAGACCTAGTCATTATATCAATTTTATAGGTGAGGAACCTAGAAGTTCAGAGAAGGAAAGTGAATTTGAGAAGGGCAGCCACCTAGAATAGGACTAGGGGTAATTATGGCAAGTGGGCGGGGGGGGACTGATCCTGTTCCCACCATTCCCAGGGGCCCCTCCAGTGACAGTGCAGGCTGCCACACTGGCCCATGGATCTGGTCGCCCCGTAAGCCTCTACCTGGCTCGTTCCAAGAGCATCAGCAGCAGCAACCCTGACCTGGCCATGGTCCCTGGCTCTGTGGATGATGAGGTTTCCCGTATCCTGGCCAGCAAGGTAGGGTGAGGGGAGCCCTGGAATCTCCAACCTCAGTGGCCATGCTGCCAAGTGGGTGGGTAAAGAATCTCACTGCTGATGGAAGACAGGGAACAACAGCGACCACAGATGAAGGCTTAACTCTGGGCAGGGGGGCTGGGCTGCGGTTGTTACAGGTTGAGGACTTGGCATCTGACTGCTCTGGGCTCTGCACTCCATGAGCAAGGATGGGTGGCAGAGCTTGATCTGGTCGAATGAAGAGCAGTCTATAGTATATGTATATGTACGTGCACATATACATGCTTCCGTACACATACGTGGAATGTAG